AAAAAAAAAAGATTGTGTTTGTGATTGGTTCTTTAATTTTGTTTTTATAGAAAAATTATTTTTGGTAGTACTCATGCAAAATATATTATAATACCTTAGCATTTGAATGATTAACTGAATTACGCTAAATAGAAGATTTTATTCAACAATAATTTAGAAGAAATTTCAAGCTTACAAATTAAATGACTATTCACGAAAATGATTTATTCAATAATTTAGGTTGAAAAGTATTGGTACTTCTCGATCGTCTTCTTCCACCCAAAAAATTCTTATGCAACAAAACGTTCATATATATCTCTTTATCTTGGAATCTTTGAATTTATGTTCGAAAAATCATGAGTGTTAAAGGGTGTAGAAAGGATATTAAATTTCTCTCCGCTCGTAGACATTTTCAAATGTCTATAATTTCGATATATATCATGAAGAGAGCATCGACATTTCTACGATGTCACAAAAAATTGACAAAATATGCATATACATATATATATATTAGTGATATAAAATTATTATTATATATATATATCACAAAAATATCACTAATATGGATATATATTAATACTAAAAAAATTAAACTTATTTAAATAGAGTAAAATATTTATTTTTAATTTAAATATTTGTTATAAAAATTTTAATTGTTTTTATAATTTTTTATTTTCCTTAATTTCTGTCATAATTTATGCTATCAAAATTAATTTCCTACTTTTTACATTTTGTCATTATAAAATTTGTCAAGTACCAACCATTTATTTCGTATTTGAGCTTTTCAAAATAATAATAATAATAATAATAATAATAATAATAATAATAATAATATTATGTATTTGAGATTATCAAAATTAAACCTAAATGTAATTTACTTATAGTAATTTTTAACTCATTTTGAGATTCAAAATTTGAAATATATTCAAATTTTTTTTATAACTAATTCTAAACATTTATAAATTTTAAATAAAAGATTTTATTAGTTGTGTTTTGAAATATACATTTTTAGAGTACTATTATAGTATTATAACTTAGAATTAAAAGATTATCCTTTTGTGGGATAGTTTTTCTTCTAATGTAGTAAAAAGTTCGAAATTTTTTAAAATAATAATTCAAACGAAAATCAAATTCAAATATGATATAATGCTTTAGTTTGTTATATTTGAAAAAAAAATGAAAAGTTATGAGATCATTTTCTTAAATACATATTAAATTTATGTTATGAAGTGATAATTTTTTTTGGTTTTCTTTATGTTGGGTGTTTACTGCATAGTAAATACAGTACAGATTAAGGTATAATTAACAAAAAGTAGAGGAAGACGAAGTATAAAAGTATAACGAAAAATTAGCTTTTCAAAATACAGATAGTATTTGATTGATATTTCAAAGTATTATACATATGCTTTGATGTTATAGAAGGAATTTCATCGATCATGTTGGAAATGGGCACAATATCCTACCTTTGTTTTGAAAATTGAAAATTTATGGTATAAAGTTATGATAATACATCCCATTGACATGAAATCATTTATGTGAAATCAAAAGTTGAAAGCACCATAAAATGGGAGATTCCTTACCACAACATATCCGACCCTATCGATATCGTCAATGAAATTTCAATACGAAGTATTCATTGAATATTTTAGAAAGTTAAAACATTGTTTGAATTAGATTTCGATAGGAGTTCTTTTTGACAATTTTAGGTTTATTATGCTTTAGAATGAATTCATTTTAATTTTTAACCAATAATATATATATTACAAAGTTTAGGGGCTCGAACCACTCTGGACCTACCATAAATCCGTCCCTTATGGAATATGTCAATTAATCACTATTTTTTAGTTCAAGTAAAAAGAACGAAATGTTTTTCCAACCCCCTTAGTTTAGCCGCCCTGATAACTCTTGAAAAAAGTCATTTATTTCCCTGCTTTACTCTCTATTATTTTTCAAGAAGAATGAAGTTTTAGATTAAGTAAAGTAGCTAATGTGATATATACTTATTCGAGAAGGGTTAATTTTATATATTTTGGAAGAGTTTTTTATTTAAGAAACAAGAAGCAATAACAATGGTGGAACACTAAAGAGACCTTAATATTTTTCCATGTCGAATTTGGTTTGACCTTTCTCCATGGTAAGAGACCAATTAAGTCGATTCTCCCATTAAGTGCAAGGCCAAAGACTATAAATTGATACGAGGAGCTCGAACCGCTGATAGAAAAAGAGAAAAAGGATTAATCTTGCCTTTCCCAAAAACCCTTTTAAGTTGAGTACTAGTTTTGCCAAAGCCTCCTTAAGAACTCGATCTTCCTTCCCGCCTGTGTTTCTCCATATGAGATATGTAAAACAATATCATATAATTTTCAAAATAATATAATCACTATTAGTTAGGTTTAATTATTTAAATTTGAATTATATTGAAATATGATATGGGAATAAAGCTTTTCAAGTAATTTAGAAGTTTCGGACCTTATTAAATAACTACACAGATCAATGACGATTGATGGTAAGTTGATGAAGCATTGGGTTTTAACGCGTCAGGGAGACTTTAAATTTGAAAAGTCTTTGTCTTTTTCCATTGTTTTTTCGGCCAAATTAGAACTTAGAAAAAGTTTCAAGTTTCAAGTGATTCTTTAGATACTGTTTGATCATTTTATTTTTTATTTTTATTTTTAAAAATTAAGCTTGTGCACTATTTTCATCTATATATTTCTTTATTTTGCTATATATATTTTAAAAACGTTTTCATAATCTAAGACTAGCTTTGAAACTTCAAAAAAAAAAAAAGTAATTTTAAGAAAAACTTGTTATTGGTTTTAAAATTTAGCCAAAAAATTAATTGTAGTTTTAAAAAAAATAAAGCATACTATTTTTTTTTTTTTAGCAAACAAACATAATTTTTAAAATTTTTGGAGGAAAATAAAATTTTAACTTCTGATTTTGTAATATGGTCCTTGTTCAATATCATAGTTTCAATCAGGGTAGTCCGCAAACAAAAGAAGATGCCCCACAACCCACTACTAGACTGATAAGGAAGTATGAGATAAAAATAGACCAAATAATATGAAAAATCTTCCCGAGTAAACTTTCCCTGAATTCAACGCAATAAATACACAAATATATTTTTTTTTATTTTACATAATTCCTACGTTGTCTATTTGTCTATATGTTACTCGAGCTTGATGCGGAGTTCAATGCTAAGCTTGGGGATTTGGGTCTGGCAGAAGTTTATGAACACAGTTCGAATACAAGAGAAGCAACTATACCGGTAGGAACAATGGGATATCTTGCACCTGAGTATGTTTGTTTATTCGGGTATTCCCACTGAGAAGACAGATGTTTACAGCTTTGGTGTGGTAGTGTTAGAGGTGGCAACGGGGAGAAGGCCTCTTGATGATAATGGAATTGTGGTTGTTGACTGGGTCTGGGACCTGTAGAAAAAGGGGAAACTAATTGAGGYTGCTGATTCGACGGTTGATGGGGAGGTTTGAAGGGGTCGAATTTAGTCAGTTGCATCATTCATTCCAACCACACCTTCCACTACCAACTCTGTATTTCCTCCCTCCTATCTACTTTTCATCGTATTTTAATTAGTCGTAAAATATAATTTTCATTTTTCAAGTTTGAGTTTGCAGTATATTTCAGCCCTTAAAAGTTTCATAATAAACATTTTAATCTTTGAGGTTTAGAAAATGATTTTAAATGGTTCTCGAATCGATTAACGAAAAAGTGATCCGACAATTAAACGCTTGTCATGATAATGTTCTTATTTTCTCCTATATATATATATATATATATATAAATTGCATGGGTAACTAATATAACTTGAATTGTGAGATAATTATTGTATGGCGTCTGATATAGTAAATTGAGATATAAAAGTTTCCAAGATTATTATTGAAAAGTTATCCATTCATCTTGCTTGTAGATCTTTGATTTCAGAGAAAACAGCTCCTGACATCCCTTTATTATGCGAAATACTTGAACTCTCATTGCTGCTTGTCACCACTTCAGTCTTGTTACTTGAAATCCCCTCCTCAAAGAGCAAGCCATCATAATTTTCCAGGCAAATTAGCTCAACAATTCCCAACTTCTTGGAACTCTCTTGAAGTTGGGATGCAAACTCCAGGCCCTGCAATACATCTTTCATCGAGGGCCGTTTGTTTCCATTATCTTGGATGCAACTCACCGTGATTTGGATGAATTTTCTAAAGCATTCCGGTGCAATTTCGTTCTTGATATTCGAATCAATGATCTGATCAACCGTCTTCTCACGGTAGCATCGTCGAACCAATTCAGCTAACAAGAGTGACGTTTCGTCTTCTGTGTGAATCAGTGCTGGACGAGCACAGAGTACTTCACATAGAACCACTCCAAATGAATACACGTCAGACTTTTCAGTCAATTTCTGGAGTCGGTAATATTCTGGGTCTAGATAACCAAAGCTACCTTTCACCACCGTGCTAACATGAGCTTTAGACGTGCTCTCTAGCCTGGCTTTTGATAATCCAAAATCTGAAACCTTCGCCACCCATTTCTCATCCAGTAAAATATTTGTACTTTTGATGTCACGGTGGATGATGGTGTGTTTGACGCCGGTGTGAAGGTAGTGTAGCCCTTTTGCCACTCCAATGCAAATCTGGAGGCGTTGCTCCCACGTCAGAGGTTGTTGTTGTTCATCACCATCGCCATAGAGGTGATTCTTGAGGGTGCCACGGGACATGTAATCATAGACTAGAATCATTTCGATGCCGTCGTTGCAGTACCCGATTAGCGAGACGAGATGCACGTGGCGAAGTTGAGACAGCATCTCTATCTCTGTTTTGAACTCCTTCTCTCCTTGTCTTGAACCTGGTTTCAATCGTTTGATCGCCACTTGGGTGGCTGCGTTGCCTATGTACCCTTTGTACACGTTACCGAAACCTCCGACGCCAATGATCAAAGCGTCTGCGAAATCTTTTGTGGCGGCTTTGATCTGTCGCAGTGAAAAGTAATGACATGTATCAGATGGAATATTGGTGCTGCAGCTCTTGCTTGACTTGTTCGTCGAAATGGAATACAAAGCCCTCTTGGAAGTTCCATCACTTGAGCTCTTGTTCGTAAATGTCCGAAATACAAACACGCTCAGAGCTAACAAGGCTACCACACCTCCGCCCACAGTGGGTACTATAATAATCACTGCTTTACTCTTTGAATTTTTTGATTGTGAAATCGATGGTGGAAGAGATTGGGTGGGGGTATTGAGATGTATATCTGGGTTTTGACCGGCGAGGTTGCCACTGGAGTCGTTTAATTTGAAGATCTCAATACCATTCATGATGACGTTGGTAAATCTAGTCAGAAAGTCCTTTGGGTTTGCTTGGAGCTTAACAGAGAGATTCACTCTGTTTTCGTGTTTGCTAATAGGCACGTTCACAACATAATCTCTATGAATTGGATTATATTTCCCCCCGGCCCAACGAAACACATCGGCAGATTGCTCGGCGATCATGTCTCCAATGTAAATCAGAAACACTCTATCATTTCTGTCGGTGATTTCAGGCTCAAACTCGCAGAAATGAAGGCGAAGCATGTAAAAGAATCCAGGATGTACAGGGTACTCCCACGTGAGGTTGTAGCTCTTATTAAGCGTACTATTTGGTCCCATTGATCGAGCAGTACGATAGAGATCTTCTGGTGCTGTGTATGGCGGTGTTTTAGTGTAATTAATGTGCATAGATAAACTAAAAGGTTGAGCATTGTATATGTAGGCATCCAACAAATTACTTTCCTCTGACCAGGTTCGGAACATTCCAGTGTCTTCTTCGGGGGCAATGGCTCTTCCACCGATATTCATCCTGTATACCGTCTCGAGAGACGTGTAATTTTCAATAGGGAAAAACTGATTATTGTGGCCAATTAGCTTCAATCCCCGACCGCCTTCATCGTTAGGCTCCGGCTCCGGCGGGGTATAATAAAGATTAGTTGGCATGGATACAATCTCAATCCCACTGATAAAAGCATACGAGTCCTGATCTGTAGGAGTGAACGTAAGATCGAGTACTCCCTTTTCATCAACATACACACAATATTCTCGAAAAAATTCGGTTGCACCAGAAGCATCAGCGTGGACATCAACATTGAAATCACGAAGGAGAGTGTAGAGACCAGCTGTGACGGAGAAGACGGCCTTGTGGGGTTGGAAGTTAGAGAAAGGAGCAGAGTTGAAGTGAAGGCGAACGAACTTCTGGCCGGGACTAACCGTAATTAAGTAGGTGAATTGGAAGCGTGACAACCGCGCATTTATGTAAGGRACCTCAATGGCGGAAGGAAATTGTTTTTCTTCCGCCGCCACACTCACGGACTTGGAGTTGTGATGGTAATTAGAAGGGAAGAATTTGGTGGTGAAATCATTGGCCCAGGGGCGACCGTTTCCCCCGTACACAATTGAGGCTCCATAAGAACCACAATCAAGGGCTATATCATCGGTGGGTATGTAAGCCGGCGGCGAGTCCCCAGCAATGGGGAGCGACAGAAATTGGAGGTAGAAGAGTGTAAACAGAATGGTTGCATAAGCATGTTCGATCTCAAAGCTCGCCATTAGAATTTAGAGCAAAACTATGAAACAGTGGATTTCAGAAACAACAACTCTGAAGTCTGCAAGCCATAACCAGTGAATTGAAAATTTAATTTTCTCTTTCCAATTTTTAAGCATATGTTTGGAGTCAACCGGAGGTACAAGGGTGGGGTTGGTAGCACGTGGGGTAAAATTGATTTATAATTATGCAATCATATATATTAAATAAAAATATTATAAATGGTACACCCACCACCTATGTTTTAAACACTAACGTTAAAAATAAATACAAATTTTTTTTCTATTTTTAAAAAATTATAAAAATTTAAAAGTAAATAGATAAAAATAGAAGTTAAATAAATGAAACCCTATTATTATTATTTTTATTTTACATTTAATCAACTGTTGGTGTAAGAGAGTGTTTAATATTTGTGATTAACTGATGATGATGAGTCTTTTTCTTCTTGATAATAATGGGTCTAAGTTGAAAAGTCTTCAAGTCTTTTTCCAATATCTCTCTTTCTTTTCATAATTTTTTTTATGTCAGATTAGAATAGATTGAATAATATTTCCACGAAGAACAATTCAAAACCAAACAATAATTTAAAACAAGGTTTCCACCTTACAAAATTAAAGGATTATGCACATACATGACTTATCCATAAGTCTTTTCGGTATTGGCCTACTAGAAAGGTTATTGTGTGGTGATAATTCTCGGGTTGGAAAGTATATATTAAGTCTATTTTGAATTATCGTGTCCTTCCTCGGCTTAAAAATTTTTAGATATTTACACAAATAGTATCAAATAAATGTATATTTTTAAATATAGTATAAAGTTTAAAATTTTATGAAAAAAAATATATGTTCCAGACAAATTTAAACTCAAATTTAAGGTAAGAGTCAAATTTATGCCATTTTGGATTTGTAAAAATGAAATTTCGGTCATTTAAAAATACTAGTAAGAAATATGTGGGGCACATCAAATTTCCTAGTTGTTATTTCAATGCTTAAAAATATAAAAATTAATTAAATAGTTAAAATTTTTTAAATAATTTAGCTTTTTTATCTCTCAATATTTATCTCACCAAGTTTTTTTTTTATATTCTCCATGTTTATCTCATAAAATCAACGGTCTCGATAATTTTCATCACCATTAATCTGGTTAGTGTGACTAATGATATTATTCTTCAATTACTTAAATTTTTTCTTAAAAAAAAAACCTATATTTCATCTTTTTTACTAAACATAACAATGCATAAAAGTAAATAAAACTGTGTTTTTGAGTCATTGAAAAAAAAATGACAATAAAAAAAACATCAAGTATGTCTATCTCTTAAACTTTTTGAATAAATTACTTATATATTGTAGGTTATCAAGTATTTTTTAAAATAACAATTATTAACATTACATTGGAAAAAAAAAACCAAAAGTTCAATGGGTTCAATCAAATAATCTAACTAAATATAAGAAAACACAATACATTGACTAAAGGAGAAAAATATATCAAAGAGAAAGGAAGTCCAAGTTTTTTATGAATGAAAAATTAAGAGAAAGATGAAGAAAAAACTTTTTATATAGTTTTGAAAATAAAAAGTTAAAACTAAAAATAAATTATAACTTTTTAATTAACTCAACTATACCTATTCTAATTTTTTAATTAATTCAACTATACATATTCTAACTCTTTATATTGATAGAAAATTAATTTGAGAAAAAGAAAATTAATTTGAGAAAAGTGGAATATCCATCTAAAATATTTTGAAAGAAATGAAAATAAAATAAAATAAAAAAAGGAGAGGGGGCGTGGGAGAGAGAGAAGGAAGGAATGAGAAAGAAAACTTTATATCAAAGGACAACAATGTATCCAAATAAATATGAAAATGATTAAATTAAAAAGATAAAATAAGAAGAAAAAGAATTCTCCCTTATCCCCTTTTATATATAGAACCAGTGAGCGACACCAACTATGCAGAATTTATCATTTTATTATTATTAGTTTAAGAGCAATTTTATCATTGAAATACAGATTTATCTGTTTTAATTCCTCTAATTTTATCTCTCTTTCTAAATATTATCTCTCAATATTTACAAATTTATCCCTCTCGATTTCCTATCCCTCTAATTGTTTTTCTCTCTTTTCAAATACTATCTCTCCATCTTTATCGTTTCCAAATAAATTTAAATAAATGATCATTTTTTGAGTAAGGAATTTGGATGAGTGGAGGAAAAAAAGTCTAAAAATGAATGAGAAAGAAAAATAATGAAATGACTCGAAAAGATAAATGAAGTTTTTAGGAAGACAAAATTAATTGACAACATTGAAATTTATAAACGTGGAAAGAAATATTTGGAAATAAAAAGTGGTAGGACGGGAGAGAAAATGGGTGGAATTTGAGGAAATTTAGAGGGGGAGAGCAACTTGTGGAAGAGGGAGAAAGAAAATTAGTGGAATTTGAGGAGATTTAGGGAGAGAAAGTGAGAGATGAATGACAAACTTTTTGGTAAATGATGAATGACAAACTTAACTTCAAAGTAATAGAAAGAATTAATAAGATTGAAGGACAAAATAGGAAGATAAAGTTTCTCTCATGTAGATATAGATAGATATATTAAATTTTATGCTAATCCCTCAAATTCTTCGTGCAAACAAAAAACTCACACAGCCAAGAGCGAAGATAAGTTAGTAGTAATTGTATATATCTCTGAGTAAGAGATTGTAAATTCGATCTCCATACTAAAAAATAAATAAATAAAAAACTCATATATTTATTAATTTATTAATTCAGTAACGAGGTCCTTTATTTCAATATCAACGCCCCAAAGTCCCGTAAAAGGAAAATACTCCACAGACCAACCTACCTTTTAATTTAAACATTTTTTTTCAAATAAGTCTTTTTTAAAAAAAACACCTTCTCTAAAGTAGTGTTAATTAAACTATTTGTGTGTTTAGCTATATTTTAAGTTATTGTAATACTAGTTGTTTGTAAGGTTGAAATGTCAATCGATAGAAAAGTCAAGGTCATAAATCTACGAAAATGTCGATGTCGATGAATATTTAGAAATTTTCGATTATATTCTTTTTTGGGTTGTAAATAGTTTTGTAATTATTTAAATATTCTGTTTATGTACGATCCCTTCAGTTTTCATCTTAATATTTAAATAAAAATTCATAATATTGCCACTGGCAAATTGTTAATATCATCTTTGCCCCAAAAAAAAAAAAAACCAACAACAACTACTAACTAACTAATATTACTACTTTTCTCTTTATTTAATTTTAAGTAAATAATAAACAATGAAACATAATTATCAAAAGAGTAGAATAGTTCGAGTTAATGTAGAAAATTTTAGGTAAAAAATAAATTTTTACCCAAGAATTTCCAATTTCGATAAAAATAAGGAAAAAAAAACACCTAGACTCGAAAAGTGTTACAAATTTTAGAGAAAGTATTTCAAATAGCCACTTTTTGTGATGTCATATAAGAAATAGCCACATTTTTAGAAAAAATATGTGCACGATCATTTTATATATTTTATTATTTTTTATATACTTATTTATGTCAATTTTACCCGTTTTATATCAATTAATGATATTAAACATTGATTTTATTACTTTTATGAAGAAAAAAAAGTGTTTAAAGGATGCGAACATAAGCATAATTGGTAATTGACACCTACTCGTTCTCTTCAGGTATTGTACTAGCATTCAGAATGTCGTCCCATACTTTTTTCATTTTCAATACGGTATAAACTAAAGAAAATTATTTTATATAAATTTTATCATTATAATTGGTCTAAAAATAAAGTTTATAATGAAGGAAAAATAGTTTTTGGGTTGGGTTTGTTGTCAAAGCCAACATATCGACTTAAGAAACTTTAAAACCGACATTGAAACAAATCTTTTTTAAAAATCCAATCGAACTAAATTAATTGAGTAAATCAAAATTATAAATTTTATTTCCAAATCAAATCGACCATTATTTTTTTATTATATACTTCACAAAATTGAATTAAACGAAAGTATGATTCCAACCGGTCCACTCAACTTATTTATTCGATTTTTTTCAATTTAAACTCTGAGCCATAAAATTTCCAATAAATAAATTTGTTTTGATATGTGAATTAGTTATTTATTAATCACCATTTCAATTAAATTCATTTACTTATTTATTATCAAACTAACCATTAATCACTTTTGTTTCAAATTAATATATTTTAAAACAAAAACTAAAGACATATACTTAAGTAAATTGGAGGGAAAATGATAAAATACGGTACAAATCTGAGTTTATAAAACTATCAACTAATACGTTGGTTGGTTTAGCTAAGTTAACGCTGAAAATCTTAAATCAAACACCCCCTTTATATTTTAGCCGAGTCAATAAAAAGAGTCCAATTTTTTCAATTAGGTGAGTTTGATTGAATGTTTACAATTAAAAATTTGTAGATCAATCGTAATCCGTTATTATATTAGTCCAATTTGCCCAAAAAAAATTAAACACGGGACTGTGACATTTTTGGTCAATCAAAAGATATTTCAAATGGCACAAAGAGAAAAAGGAAAAAAGAAAGAAAAAAAAAAGTAACTTTTATCAATTTGTGTGCATAAAGAATTATTTGGTCGAAGAACACAAAGGAAAAAAGACCAAGGACTTTTCAACCATAGACTCTTTCAACGCTCACTCTCTTAGGCATTAAAGTCTATGCTTCATGACAGAGACTTTTGAACCTTCCCCTCCATCTCCCTCCCCACCAATCTTCTTAACTCACATTTATGATTTATGGTTCTGCTATTCTGATTTTTCTATTCTTTCAAATCTAGAATAAAAGAAAATTCTTCTTTCATGGAGACGATTCTGTAGCATTTGCTCTAATGGCGGCCTCCAACACCAAACATGCTTCTTCTTCAGCTATCCTATTCACTGTCGTCTGCCAGCTGCTCCTGTTTCTCTCCTTCTTCGTAGCCGGTCAGTCGCCGCCGCCCTACAAACCCATCGACGATATAGTCCTTGATTGTGGTTCCTCCGGCAATTCAACTGTACAAGGGGACCCCCGCACTTGGGTTGGAGACATCGACTCCAAATTCTTCTCTTCCAATCTCCATAAGAATGGCGCCTCAGTCACTGCACAGGCGGACGGGCCGTCGTCCTCTTCAGTCCCTTATTTAACCGCGCGGCTGTCACGCTCGGAATTCACCTACGCTTTTCCGGTGAGTCCCGGCCAGAAGTTCGTTCGGCTTTACTTCTACTCTGCTCCTTACCCCAACTTCGACCGCTCCAGAGCCGTCTTCTCTGTCACAGCTGGTCTCTACACTCTCCTTCGCGATTTCAATGTTTCCGTCAACGCTGATGCTTCTCGTAATGATGAAGTTTTTCGAGAGTACTGTGTGTATGTGGATGAAAATCATAACATACTCAATCTTACATTCACTCCCAGTTCAAATCAGGACTCTTATGCTTTTATCAGTGGGATTCAGATTGTATCCATGCCCACTAATTTTTATTATACGCCGCCGGAGCCTAACGATCAAGGCGGTCGGGGATTGAAGCTAATTGGTCAGAATAATCAGTTTTTCCCCATTGAAAACTCCACGTCTCTCGAGACGGTATATAGGATGAATATTGGTGGAAGTTTTATCTCACCCTCTAAAGACACTGGAATGTTCCGAACCTGGTCAGAGGAAAGTAATTTGATGGATGCGTACATATTCGATGCTCGCCCTTTTAACTTGATTATCCACCTCAATTATACTAAATTTCCGCCATACACAGCACCAGATGATGTCTATCGCACTGCTCGAACGATGGGACCAAATGTTACGCTGAATA